CATGGAGCCGAGTTTTATATTTTTCGTCGCAAACTCCGCCCACTTTGGTCAGGCCCCGCCCACCAATGACAGTTGGCCTCCACTCCTCCACCCACTTCCATCCACCTTTTTCCCGGCCTCCGGGACCTCATGGAGCCGAGTTTTATATTTTTCGTCGCAAACTCCGCCCACTTTGGTCAGGCCCCGCCCACCAATGACAGTTAACCTCCACTCCTCCACCCACCTCTCTATCCACCTTTTCCCCAGCCTCCGGAGCTTCATGGAGCCGAGTTATAAATTTTCGTCGCAAACTCCGCCCACTTTGGTCAGGCCCCGCCCACCAATGACAGTTAACCTCCACTCCTCCACCCACCTCTATCCACCTTTTCCCGCCTCCTCCGCTTTGTTTGGAGCCGAGTTTTGAATTTACGTCGCAGAACTCCGCCCACTTTGGTCAAGCTCCGCCCACCGATGACAGCTGGCCTCCACTCCTCCACCCACCTCCATCCACCTTTTTCCCGGCCTCCGGGACTTCTTGGAGCCGAGTTATGAATTTTCGTCGCAAACTCCGCCCACTTTGGTCAAGCCCCGCCCACCATTGACAGCTGGCCTCCACTCCTCCATACACCTCTATCCACCTTTTTCCGGCTCTTTAAGGACTTCCCCGACCCGAATTATGAGGGCTTGTAGAAAATGCTGTACACTTCAGAGCGCGCCCCGCCCATTCTGGGCGGCCTCCGCCCACGTCATGTATGCAGGAAACACCTTAGACATTGCTCCCTTACACCAAATTGTTTTCTGCTCTGTAGGCTTTCTCCCAACCGAGTTATGAAATTTTTCATAAAGCACTGCTTTTTTAGAGAACGCCCCGCCCACCGGGGGGGTGGGTCTCCCTAATTCGATGTGGCTTACCAATGCACACCTTAGCCCACTTTTTGGCCCAGTTTCGAGGTCGTTTTGTCACTGAAATCGAAATCTTGGTCTTCGGTACAATTCATTTCGACGCACGCCACGCCCTCTGTGGGCGGGGCTCCGCTTAGCTGATGTGTGTTTTGTATTACGTGAGACCCTGCCCACCCATCCCACACTTGACCCGGTCCCTCCAGGTGGATCCCGAGGAGCTAGGGAATTTCGTGACAGACATACAGAACGACACACGACACACGACACACGACACACGACAGACGAAGCGCTTTATAGTAAGTAGGATAATTGAAGCTTTTCTGCTCGCATTGCCGTTTCTCTTGACGGCATGATTAAGTGTCGATGCGCCGTGGCTGTAGTGTGATTGAAGACGGATTTTCGCTTTCACGCACGATGGTCGGTCAGACTCCGCTGTGTCGCTCCTGTCTAGAGCGATTGCATTCTCGCAATGCACCAGGCCGCGCAGGGACGGGATTGGCATCGGTCCAAAGTCATGCGAGGGGACGCGAGAGACTTTACTCACCGCCGACAATCGATTACAAAACGAGCGCCTGCTCGGGTAAATCTCCCGACCGTCGCTCGCGCTTTGGAGCGATGCCAATCGCCCGTCGCTTGTGCACACTTGCCACAGAGCGAGCGATGCATCGCGGTGGACAAGCGATGGAGCGATCGCGTCGCTCCAGCACTGGTCCATCGCGATGCAATCGCCGAGTCTGACCGACATCTAAGTCTTTTGTTTTCCACTCTCATCAGATCATTACGTAGCTCGGCGTCATTATCATGAATTTGAGCTCGTTGAGCCTGAATCTGATGGATTTCAGCTCTTCCTTGCCTTTTGTGGATGGCGGGTTCTTCCATACTCACTCCTGAAAGGAGAATTGAGTTGAATCCGTTTGACATCGACGCTTGGAATTTAATTCTGCGAGAGTCACAGGTACGTTATGTAACATTTTCAATCAATTTTTCTGTCTTTGTAATAGCCCGGGGGTATAGTGTCAATAGTCCTTGCTACGTTTTTTATATGGAATTTCTGTTGCTCTAATCAAAGAAATGGTAAGTCTAGTAAAATTCTGAGCATGGTCCCTGAAGTGTTACTTAGCACTTAATTCTTATCGCCAGGGTCGTTCATACTTCGCGTTTCGGTTTGCAGTTCGAGTGTGGAGTAGATACGATCGGTGGTCGGTCTATATCTACCTTCTCCACACTCAAACTGTCAAACGAACTGCAAAATAAGACCCGACGTTAGGCTTGCTGGAGGGGAATGATGTGGATTTCACAATCACGATACAACTTTCCAACCCTTCCTTCCCTTCTCTTTTAAAATATGAAAACTTTCGTTCACCTGCTTCAAGAGCACTATTTAGAAGATATGCTGTATTGGAGCCAGGGTGAATATCGGTCGAGGATTCCTCAACGGCACGTCGAGGATTTTCGCCTGATCAGACACGCTCTCTCGCGCGGACATTCACACTCGCCATGCGCGAGCCGTCTGTGCCTTTGCGCGTACGTTCACTTCGACACTACTCTCGCACAGTGCAATTCCTCAGCCGCTATTCACCCTTATATAGGAGCATTATACCTTCCGTAGGCACAGAAACTACATTTCATTGTTGTGCTCTCAAATGGTTCCTGTGCTTTAGGTAACCTTGGACGAAGTGATGAATTACCGTATTGCTTATACATGTTTTATGTATTTTTCAGGCACGTCCAATTGATCAGGCGCGAAACTTTTATGAAAAGTTGGTAACACAGTTTCCAAACGCTGGACGCTACTGGAAGGCATACATAGAACACGAGGTAAGATATAATATGTAACGGCTGAGTAGAAAGTTGAATATTGATGTGCCGTTCAACCGTGGTGATCCGGTCATGTTGCAGTTGGCTATCTTGCGGCAGTTCATGTCACCCCGGCTATCCGATAGCGGACGCCACATCTCCTTTGGTTTCTTTTTGTTCCCCCAATGCTTCCCCATGAATAATAAATATTTGCTATGCAGCACCGTCCTCGTAATGATGATGTCGCCTTTGGTCTTTCATAAATTCTGTGCGAATAAATATTGTTGGCCAGTATCACTTGAGTTAGCTTGTTCTTCGTTAGAGCCTAAGTCATACACAAGGGAACTGTCGCACTTTTTCGATGGTTAATAGTGCTAACACGGACTAGGGAAAGTGTGCACACAATCCTAATCACTGGCACAGTTGAGTATGTCTAGACCTACATGTGCGTGTACAAATCACTCATATTCAGGTGAATTTTTCTTCTTCTTTTCTGTAACTTTCCTGTTGAAGTTTAGCGATTATTTTTCAACAGTTCTCATTTATTTCAGCTCCGTGGGAAAAACTTCGAGAATGTCGAGAACGTAGGTTCCATTCGCTTTATTTAAATATGTATTCCACCTCTTCGTGGCCTCCCGTCTCATGAAGATCTGTGTTGCAGTTGTTCAATCGATGTTTGGTGAAAGTTTTAAATATCGATCTTTGGAAATGCTACGTTTTCTACGTTCGAGAAACGAAGGGTCATTTGAGCTCTTTCAGGTCATTTACATTTCCAAAATCGAATACATTTTTCCATAAGCTTGAACGTGTCCATGTGGTAAAGCATTTAGGGAGAAGATGGCTAAAGCGTATGATTTCGCACTTGACAAGGTCGGCCTTGATATGAACTCCTACTCAATCTATTCGGACTATATTTCATTCTTGAAAACTGTGTATGTTTATTTGTTGGTGTAAATTAGGTTGAAGTGGAATATGTTGTATGAGTTATGGTTCTCTTGTAGGCCAGCCGTTGGTCAATATGCTGAAAATCAGCGCATATCAGCCGTGCGTAAGATTTATCAGCGAGGAATTTCCACACCTATGGTGAACATAGAGTCGCTATGGACTGATTATTGCGCTTATGAGAAGAACATTAATCCAACGCTAGCCGAAAAACTTATTTCTGAGCGCAATAAGGAATATCAGGTAGGTATGGTTTCTGGAAACCTTGCTGTATAGGGCTCTTCTTGAATTCGTATATCATTATTTAAGGTTTCAAAGAAGATAGCAAAGCAATTGGAGACAGTCACCCGAGGGGTTAATAGGCAAGCTGTATCGGTACCCCCGCGAGGTACTGCTCCAGAGATGAAACAGGTAATATTTGAGACTTTAACAAGTCCATGTAGTCGACTTTCAGTCACATCCGTGGGATACATGCTCCCAGATCCACCATGCTTTTCCACTCTCATCGGATCTCCGAACAGCTAGAATCGCGGAAGTTACGTTCAACATGGAAACCAGCTCGTATCATCGCAAGGAAACTCACTTCGCCCAAA